TTCGACCGGAGTGAAACGGTTCCCCTCAGAATAAAATAGGTTCGTCATGAAAGTACAGTACGGTGGTACCTCGCATAACGAACGCAATTCGTTCCAGCGGTGCGTTCGTTATGTGAGGTATTTCTTTATGCGAAACACGATTTCCCATAGACTTCTATTGGAAATCATGTAATCCGTTCCACGTCGCCGCGAAAAATCAAGGAAATTAGGAAAAAATGTTTCACTTTCACTCGCGAACACCTCGCATAACGAACGCACCGCTGGAACGAATTGCGTTCGTTATGCGAGGTACCACTGTATTTGATTCCACGTCGCCGCGAAAAATCAAGCAAATTAGGAAAAAATGTTTCACTTTCACTCGCGAACACCTCGCATAACGAACGCACCGCTGGAACGAATTGCGTTCGTTATGCGAGGTACCACTGTATTTGTTATATTTTCTCTCTCTGTCTCGTTCTGGGAACGCATTGTAAATAGGACAATCGGGGAAGTGTTGCTCCACTGGAGGCGCAGATGACGGGAAGAGACTGCAATGTGTGGAGTGCACGCGGGGAAGGTCCATACGCTCTTAGAAAATACCGAGAGTTTAGTGAGTGAGAAGTGGGCACTATGTGAGCTATCTCGAATGTACTCTCTGATTACTCAGCAAATGCCTCCTCATTGCGCGTATTTCTATCGCGCTTCTTACTCCATCTGCCCTTCTAGGGAAGAACTACAGCCACTGTCAGTCATGGAAGGTGTCTTCAGTTGCTGCCATGGCAGCGAACAGTTTTCGTTGCCAATGTGCAGCAGGGTTTCATCAATTTCCCTTTCAAAGTTCACGGTGTGCACGAAGAGGTATTTCTGTCAATATCGACAACCCAAATCGAAGGCGAGCACTTATTCGTTATAGGAAAAGGGTTTCCGTCCGTGAGGCGATTGCCTAGGTCTACCGAAACGTATTTCAGTTGGCCTAACGTTAGCCAATATCCAGTTGATAGCTAAGAATGCAATTCTTAAAACCACTAAATTCGGGCGAGCTTTCCGATTCGGACAGATACAGAAAAACGCATTTAAGATTCAAGGAATTAGCCTCTTCATGGGAGGAGACCTGAGCGTTACGCATGAAAACTCCCCAAATCGTTGCTTAAGATGCTGAAAGTGGTCTCTCTTTATAATCACAAAATCCCGTTTAAAAAGCCATTTGCGCCTGTTGTCTTCAATACTTTCAGTTCTCTTGACTCGGAAGTCAAACTAGTAGGCTGCAAATGAATCTCTATTGAAATGTCATGTCGTGTCCACTTTTTTTCGTAGAGTTTTCCATTTTTCACCGAAATTGAGTTGAAATTTGATCTCCGAAGTGCATGAAAAGAGGTGAAGTCCTTCTGTCTCGTTTCACGATTCGTCGGGACAACTTCTATCCTTCCATGAATTCCAATCGCGGAGTTCCTCCTCGTGTACGCTAAAAAATTGACGCGACTGGCGATCCAGGGAAAAATGCATCATCACGTGGCGTCATCTTTGGATCGTCATGTTGTCCTTGCGTTCAGAAGCGCTTACGTTCGTGATCAACTCTTCCATGCGATATCGTAAGTCATCGAAGATAAAAATGTAGAAATTTCCATTTCTCGCATCCCTCTGAGTGGGACGGAGGAGGTCCCTGACGAACACTGCTGCTGCTCCCCCTTTAATTCCATGCAGTTGAAGGGGAATGAATTTGCATATCTCGTAAACGAGATGAGCCGAATTTTTCTCCTAGTGTTTTCACTCCCGAAATACAGTACTGGAAGCAGTTGCCTGCTGGCAGGGCTTAATATGAATTGGTAGAGAAGTCAAACGTCGAAAGACGGAGATTTAGAGAATAATAATGTCGAAAAGGAAATGAGCGGAAAAAAAAAACAAATCGGGAAGTAGAAAAGTTTTTTTTTTTTCTTTACAAACCTACCCTTTCCAGCCAGTTTCCGTACTGGACTCATTTGAGTCGTACAAGGCAGAGGGGAACCGGCTTGACTGGGTGGGAAGTACGTGGAAAGCTTAACACTGCGATTTTTATTTTTTACTGTGGCGAAATACTAATAGTGGGATTCAGTTGACAGAGGCGTCTGCCGTGTAAGAGTTTCATTCCATTGAAATCCAACTGCTGGTTGTTGATCCTTTGTTGACTCTCCGGCATTTATGGGTTAATTAGAGGGTCCTTACAGCTGGGGTTTTGAGGTCTTTCGCATAAATTTCACGTTAAGCCAGAGAAACGTGACTCCCAGCCACATCTTCGGTGGGATTTATTTATTCTGATATTTCGATATTCTGGTGAAAGAAACTTCCAGGTTAATCCTAACTCTACCATCGCGTCCCGATTTTTGCAGCATTCTCTCCGATCATTTTGGGTTCCGGGCCGTCCACAACTTTGTTTTGCAGCTGCCGAACCTGTCTCATCAACTTTTCGAATGACGCCTGTCAAAATGGCCAAGAAGATCACTTATTGGCCATTATGTCTTGTCAGAAAATTCCTTCACCATTCTTCTGGCTTCCCAAACCGTTTAAACACCCAAGGTATTCGTCACCACCAAGTCCTCATGCGAATAGCAGGCATTACTCTGCTCAATTGAGAATAATGTTGGGGATTAAAAATCTCTTAAAACGTACAGAAAATAAAAAACGTTTTTATTAACAACAGCCGTCAGCCGGGGACAGTGGCAGCAGTTCTCTGAAGGGAGGCGGCCATTTTCATCCTGATGAAACAAAATACTCTGATATCACGACATTTAATTTTACATCTGCTGCAAAATGTCTCTTCACGTGTGCCTGGAAGCTTACTTATTTCCAAGCGAATAGCTTGGCATATTTTTAGCTACCCAGTATTGGAGAGGAAGGGAGAAAATGCCTGCTGAATGCAGGCATCCCATATTTTTCTAATGGCTTATTAATAATCGAGTGCTTCCGATCTCGAGGAGCCCAAAACTGCGATGCTCATGAAGAGTTGGATGTGAGGTTGGAGGGAATATTTAGAAAAAGTTTTTGCGTCGTGCATCGTCTGATGTATACATCCATGTCGATTACCTGGACAGGATTCGTTTCCTTGCCCTTGTTTTACTCGTGATGGAAAAGGGTGTTTTCTGTTTGTCTGCCCAATGGGAGATGTGACCGCGAAATATAGATATGTCATCGTGAGCAGTCACTCCTGCATCTAATCTTGTTTGCATCGAGAAGGTAGCTTCTGGGAAGACCATGAATCCAACTCCCTACTGTGTTTCCGTCCGGGAGAAAGAATGAGAGAGAGAGGGGGAGAGAGATAAAAATACAAGAATATATATTTCCTTCGTTTCCGGGTCCATGAACCGACCTGGAGACAAACATCCAAGCATCTGGCCATTCCCAGTGGGTGAAGGCCACAAATGCCTCTCCAAACTCTGATAAAATGATGCGATTTTGAAATCCTCTGTAGCGTCAGCTGTGGATATTCCGAAGTAGCATTGTCCAACATGTCAGCTTCACCTGGGTTCTTCTTCGCCCTTCTTCTTTCTCGTAAATTAATTATGTAATAATTAATGTTTATCCGATAAGTGCCTTGAAGCGGCATTTCTCGGTGAAGCGGCTCTCATTTGATGTGTTCCAGAATGTAAAAGGATATAATCATCTATTCGTGCAGTATCATGGCAAAGGGATTTTCTTAAACTTCGATGATCCTTCCCTGGACATTCCCTTGACTGAAAAATTAAAATATTGGAATAATCATATGAACATATCGGAATAGTCACATGAAAACTTGTTGTGGAGTCTATAGATAAGACACTGACAAAACCTCATGCAAATTACTGCTGCTGTCCTCTCTCTCTTGGCTTTCTCAATACCATCGCGATCGATGAAAGCGAGACCTTCAATCTCCTCAGCCTGCTTGAAGCTATACTTCGAGTCCTACGACGTTAGAGGCCAGCAAGAAGAGTGCGACGCCAGATACTACAACTACGACAGCTTCGTCTGGGTTTGCACGGAGGAGAGGTGTGACAGCCCGGGGGAGATCCTTCCCCCAACAGGATCCCGAAGTCTCATTGTCCGTGCTCACGACTTGGGATGAACTTCGGTTCCACGTTGCACCGCACCGTTCCGTGAGCGAATTTTCTTATTTTTGTTGCACGGAGCTACAGACTGTCTAACGCAGCAGTCGGGACGCATGCGGCCCACTAAGAGTTACCAATAAGTGTCCTTTTCCCACTTAACCGTTTTATCGATTAGCCCTTTTTTAAATTCCAGATTTGCAAACTAGCAAGTTTAGTCATTGTTTTGATATTCATTAAACATTTTATGCTTATGTATTTTGATGGGCACCTTGCCCAAACTTGCTTAAAATTCGGAGTATCCATATACTTCGGAGAAAATATTTCTTTCCTCGCAAGTGAATGAATTTAAGGGGGGGAAGGAATATTTATCGAAAATACAGCACAGCTCATAAAAAACAGCACCTAGAATCGATGCGTTTACGTGAGCCCTGACTTACGTGTAGTGGTGGCAGTTTCCGTGACTGCGAGATGTGGAAGTGTGTGTGGAATAAGTAGTTTTCAACTGCTGCTCATTTTTTAAATTGGACTTCCTGGTTTAGAGTTGCTTGACCAAGAGGTCGAAGGCCGGGTAAGGGGTTAACCATGCAGAAGTGTTGCATCTTTTTCAATGCGGCACACTCCAGGTTGAATAACATTATTAGTGCGACCCACTCACAGTGGACCAAAGTGTCCGTGAGGCCCTTGCCTAAAAATGTGTGGGGAGCACTGGTATAACGGCATATCCATCTCGCCTCATACACGTCCCAGCAAAATCCCGAATGCAATTATAAGGATTGACTAATCTCGGACATTCCAAAAGGTCCTGGGCATTGGGGGACACTTGAGGGAGGGGACCTCGATGCCACCGAATTCAAGTTGCGCTCCTTCGGTGAAGCTGCCCAGAGGGCAATAATGGAGTATGTTCTTGAACTTGAGAACTATTTTGGGATTCAGAAACAGTTTTAATCCGGAACTTCATCGAATCATCTCCCTCAAACGGATAAACCCTGTGAAAAGGCCTTCTCCCTATTCGGAAGCCACCCAGACGAGAGTGGCCATGGACTTCGGAGGCAGACTGGTCTCGAAAACGAGCCCGCCCTCCTCCAATCGGATCGCCAGCTCCGTCTCGTTCCTTAAAAAGGGGGATGAAAAGATCAACAATAAGGAAAGTGAAATTTACTCAAAAATGATAGGACAAGTGAGAAAAACTGGGAAATGAATGTCCGTTATCAAATTTTTGGAATGTACCAAATACCACGAGACATGGGAAGTCTTCGATTAAAAAAAAAGAGGTTATTCTCAATTTAAAAAAAGTGTGAAGGCATTAGTTCGTGGATGGGTTGATGAAAATTTTCTCTTTGAAATTGTTCTACGGTCATTGGAGTCACTGGAGAACAGCGTGCTTGACTTCAATTTGTAGCCACGTATCATAGATATTCATACTCTAAAAGTGATTGCCCACCTTTCCACCTTTTCACCTTTCCAGAAGAGGTATTTCATTCCCTATGCGTGAATTATGTGTGCTGTTCCCTGTTTTAGAAATGTTTTAGAATTGGGAAGGATAGAATTAATCCGCAGAAAATTTTCTAGACAGCATAATTTAATTGAAAATTTGCAGGGGCTGCGTAGAGGAGGCCGCTCTCGCGGTCTCCATAATGGTCATTTAAAATTATTTGCCATTCTTTAATGTGTTAACGTAAAATAAAGAACAGACTTTATGCAACATGGGGGAATCATTAGCCGCGAATAAGGTCAATGTCGTGCCCTCACGATTCCGTGATTCAGATTCAGATTCAGAGGAAGAACCTACGCGTTGATTGCAATGCACTCTGACATGAAACGAACAACAAACCTATTGAGAAGAACGACGGCTATGTGTCCCTGCGGGGTGAGCACAGCAGTGCCATCGAGGAGGAGGCTGCCTGTCCCGTCCTCCACTTCGATCCCGACTCGAAGGGAATCCCTGGGAATGAACTTGGAAAAATGTCCCATGGCATAATAAGACGGATTTTTGTAATATTCCCCGGCGGTGGCATTGACGACTATCGGTGAATCCACGTAAAACCCTGCCCAGTTCGGTCCACCTTGCAGGTCCAGTGCCAAGTTCCAATCTATCCATCCTACCATCCAATGGTTTAGGTTCTGCGAATAGAAGCACACTTATACTTTTTAAAAGAGAGTTATACTACATGGTACTGCACGTTCGCTTTCATCTTCGGGATATGTTTTATTTTTCATGGAAGTCTTCTTGAAGAAGGTGCATAATTAACTTGGGTACTTCAGCAAAAAAGTATGCAAACATTCATCTATTGTGCTCTCAGTCTGAAAACGTATTTGCTAAACACAGCCTCCTCAGGCCACCCTTTGTTAGAAGCCACAATTCATACTTGTTAATTAACAGCAATAGAAGAAATCTGGACGAATGCTAAGATGAGATGTAACACGAGTTCAACTTCCTCATTAATTAGCAACCTTGAGATGCAGAGGCTCCTTATATTTGAAATATTGATTAAAGTTCCAATCGACTCATGCAACCAATCCACCTCACGAATCAAGCAATCGATCCAGACGTGTCAAAAGGCATCATACCTGAATGATGTCAAGGGCGTACTTCTCGCCGTTCACCCAACTTCCGAGATAGACCTGGTGCTCCCAAGGTTCCGCGCCGTTGCAAGCCTCCGTCCCCAGTAGCATGAGATCCGGAAACATCTCGTGGAGAGTGTCTTGGATATCCGGCGGCATGAAGTTCATGTACCAGTGCATCGCCACGCCCGAAACCCACTCCTGCATCGTCGCGTCTGACATCACCTTAAAGTAATAGAAGCAATGGTATGTGGGGACAGATCATCACTTGTGTTCAAACATTTTTAGACACCTATCGTACTGTAGAAATGAGAAAAGATTATATCCTGACTGGCTGGATGACGTCAAAGATGATTTTCAGGATCAAAGCTGGAAATTATTGTATGAGAGATCGCTTCAGCTGAAAATTGTTTCGTCGTTATACGCTTGATACACTGAAATCTGATCTCCCAGGTTTAGAAGGAAGATCATCCCAAACAGCATGTTTATGATAATTTTACGTAAAATGAATGTAAATTTTTTGTCCATTTTATATCATTTTTACAGAAACCATTGTCAAGAAAATGTGAACATGTTTGCAGAAATGTCACCTCTGTGACACGTAAACGGTGATATAAAATTAACGTCAATTTTACGTAAAATTGACATTCCCGTTTGCATTCTAAACAGCATGTCTACTTTCATTTTACGTAAGATTTATGTTAAATTTCCCCTGGCATTCATAGGTATTTAAAGTCAATCAGTACCATTGAAAAGAATTGATGTACTGAATCACCTATTCCTTTACGTTCTTCAGAACTCCAGGGTGGTTGGACGAGTACACGAGTACTCATTCTCACCAGCACTCAAGAGTAACAAAGTGACCTACTGCTTCCTCCTTACGTCCCGGAACCTCGGGAGAAGGAGCAGGTGTTCGAAGGAACTCTCTTCCTATTAGGATTGAAAAAATGTTGCAATTGAGGGGGTTTGGATTCTACTATTCCCTAATCTCGTGCACTTAAAAAGCTTAACTTCAGCATTTAATGATTCCCTGAGTCATAAAATGCAAAAAATAGATTATAATTTCATGTTTTCCTTATATATATTCATGGCTTGCATAATAGAAAGTGGAAGGATGGTAAGAAAACCTGATACTATATCAGGAAAACAAGTACTTAATAGTAATAGTAGGATGCAGGGAACAAGGATTCCATCTAGTGAGGAATCTTGGTACTGCAACTGCAGGATAATCAGCTAAAGTTTCATATGGATAGTGCGGTGTCAATTTTTCATAAACTTGATATCATGTACTTCACGTCAGATGGAGTGACGTCTAGTTGATGTAAAATACACGTACACTTTGGTGACGTAAATATAGAAACGTAAATTTTACGTAAACGGGATGTCCTTTCATGGCAATCGCAAGAAATTTACATTGTTTGCAAAAAATTGTTATCTTGTTTACGTGAACATGCTGCTTGGGTAATATCGGTGAAAAGCCAAATGTAGGCGTATGAAATCGAATAATAACTCTTCACATGGAAACGTCCCGCCAAACCAGGAACTCCTCGACTGCTGCGAGCGCATTCACATCCGTTTCCTGATTGCTGTGGGCATCTGACGTCACCAATACGGAAGAGCAGAGTGAGGGTGTGAACTCATAAACGGCGACTGTGAGATCGCACCAGCCCCTATTGTCCGCTTTTGGCGTAAAGAATGTGGCCTTGTAGCCAATCTCGTAATCTATATTTAGTCCAAATTTTCCCTAATAAATACAGGGTGCGGCAGAATGAAGTCCCACATTTCACAAGGTCACTGACCATACCGAGGCGTTGGTAGAGCGGGTGGGGAGGTCCCATTCGCTTGGGCGGGTAATAAGGTTTGCCAGTAGACACCATGCCTTGGTCAGGTGAACAACGGGGATACGTAATCGAAGCGTTTTTTTAAAATGCCGAATCCGTGACCGCCACACAAAGAGCATTTCGTACGCGCTTCCGTCTAAATCCAAACGCGACCGTTCCAGATCGGAAAACGATACTGAAATGGATCGCAAATGTAAGGGCAACTGGAACTGCATTACCGAGAAAACCAGCTGGCCGTCCAAGGAGCATTAGAACGCCTGAACATCGCTGCCGTCAGAGCGTCTATAGAGCAGTCTCCAAGGCGTTCTGCTCGAAAACATGCTTCTGCACTCGGGATTTCCGATCGTTCTGTGAGGCGAATTTTGCACGCTGATCTGCATTTCCACCAACTGATTGACTTTAAATACCTATGAATGCCAGGGGAAATTTAACATAAATCTTACGTAAAATGAAAGTAAATTTTACGTAAACGTGATGTCATTTTCATAGCAATCGCAAGAAATTTACATTGTTTGCAAAAAAATGGACACCTTGTTTACGTGAACATGCTGCTTGGGATATTCTTTGTGATCCTACATTGTGACAACTACTCCATGTCCAATGTGCTTATATGAATGCTAATCATGGAGATCCTCCTTATGAACATTTAACATTGACTCGATTGACACTCTGGGATAAAGCGACATCACGCCATCGTCCCTCATGACGTCATCGTTGAACGTCGTCTTGTCCTTACGATCGGAACCACTTACAGCAGTAACAAATTCCTCTATGTAATATCGCTGGTCATCGAAGATAAAAAGGGAGATATTCCCGTATCCCGCCTCCCTCAGGGTGGGACCAAGGTGATCCCTGACAAACTCTTGTTGCTGCTCCGGCGTCCACCCCATGCAGTTGAAAGGGAAATCCGGGAAGCCTCCGAAGATGGGCTCGTTCTGTGACGTCAGGCTCCACACCTGCACTCCTTCTGCTTCGTATGCCTGCACGAATCTGCAAGACTGGGATCATTAAGAATGTTCCCTTGGCATTTTCATGCAAAGGTAAAAGACACGGAGTTGTTGGCATCTGAAGGTCAGAGAATTTTTTATCGATATTACTTTATTGCATCCCAGTCTGCACATCAATGTTGATACAATGTCCCAAGTAGCAATTTTGGACCAAAAAAATCCATGGGCCCTGCGGTCATGGACTCATGGATATCTACTGTATATCCTCCTGGAACATCCAGTGGATGTACCAGGAGTCTCGTGTGTCTCATATGTCTCGTACAAGAACAATCCTTGGTCACGTCCATCGGATGGCCTATTTGATGTCCGTTTCTTTGGAATCTCTTCAATTGGAGATTCCCAAAGGGAAAGCCCTCGGATGACTATTGAGGGGTGCAAATATAGTAATCCTTAAGGTAGAAATGGAGTAAATATTGCATACATATGATTACCAAGGCAAAGGAAAGCAGCATGACGGCGAATTTCAGATCTCACCGTTCGAAGACATACAGCGGCGGGATGAGCGCGACCTCACTTACATTGCAAGAACTTTTATTCATGGAATAAACTGCTAGATGTCAGGCCCGATGGAAGGCCACAACGGGGAGGGAACTCCATCGAAGAACATCAAATGGTTGATTGCGAGAAGTTGTCTTTGGAAATTATTTTGACTTGGATATTAACACCTAATGGATTCCCAAAGAAGGACTGGTACATCGTTTCGTTCGTAATGTCGAACTCTAAATGGAATCATGCACTGGTCCAATTATAATGTCGCACTATCTAAATGATTAAAATGTCTGGGTTTCCACATAAGATGAGAGAAGAAAAGAAAGAAGTACAGAAATTCCATGGTCGCAAACAATGATGCTCGTAGCGCCATTCCATGAAAGTGTTCGAAGTAGGAAATTCTGCTCGGATAAAACTCGGAATGCATGAGAAGATATCGATCCATTGCGATGACATCCTATGTACATCCAAAGGATGCCGCTTCTGGATAACTAAATACATCTTGTATATCAAACATATTATTAATTATAATAAATTAAATTTAAAACTGAGCAAAGGCTTACCCGTGTTAAAAAAAACACGTAGGATTAAGTAGTTTTCAACTAGTTCAACGCTTAGAATATTGCAATGGCAGCATCCCACTAACGCTCCAAAAAATGCATAAATGTTTTGCTCCAACAACTGGAAATATCCTAAAACTTCAGACCCCAAGAAAGCCAAAGGTACTTTCAATCCAATTGAAGAAGTAGTAATCCTTTTTAAACCCGGCACATTCCATTGGACATCCTGCATTTAGAAATGAGCTAAGGGAGGAGTTGGGGAGGAGCTGAGGAGTCATTGTCCCCTCATAACTAGAGCCATTTGCCAATAATTAAGTAGTTTCCACTTATCTGATTGGTTGTGGTGCTGCCTATGATGAATACGTTGATTTTACTGTAGTCCTCGTCAAAACCCTGAGATCCTTGTATTTCTAGCTACCAGTCACAATTCGTGTTTCGTTCATGTAATGAAATCGGTTTAATAAAAGTTACATTTTGGAATCAGAAACAGTTCCATATTTTACAGTGAACAGTACGTGTACGGTTCGTGAACTGTTGGTTTAAAGGCTTAAGTACCTCGCTATAGGGTACTTGTAAGTTCACCTATGCAAGTAGCTCAGCATTGAAGTTTTGAGCCTCTCCCACTATTAATCTACAGAGAGAAGGATAGGCAGGTTCAAAGAAGGAAAAGGAACTCACTTGAGGTAATACTGTGCCCACAAGCCATAATATTCCGGCTTGAGACTGGCCCCCCCATTAGAGCCGTTGATGTTCCCGTTGGTCTTCATCCACGCAGGAGCCGACCATGGACTCGCTATCACCAAGAGCCCCTCGCTGAGTTCCTTCGCTTCCTTGATGAAAGGCAGCTGCAAGGACGGAATCCGGGGAGAAGGTCACGAAAGGGAACGAACGGAAAGTTTTCGGTGAATCGAACCCTCTGGCAATCACTCGTTTCAGTCGTAGGGAAAATCGGGACCTCTCAACTTGATACATGCTGGGCTTTATGATACCTCTTCGGGCCTTGAAGTGTACAGGGTGGCGCAAAAATCTCAATGCATTTTTTGACTTGCTACACTTTTCTCACGAAATTCTTAACAACTAAACAGAAACTGGTCATACCCGCTGACTTGGTGTATGACATTTATTGTGATTTGACTCGGTAGGGTCACTGAAACAGATGAGAATTGAAAGCAAATTAAGCACAAGTGATGACGCAAACAAATGCGAAAAATGTATACTTTTGCGCTACCATGTAGACACCAATCATAACTACTGACAAGGGTGAAGCAACCAGTGGATAGAGTGGCGACTGTTCCTTTCGACTTTTCTGGGGTTGAGAGCAAGAGATAGAAGAAAGCAGGTAGGGGCAATTGCTATATTTCGTTTTTTTCTTGTTACTTTGGCTAGCCGACCTATTGAATAGATGGGAACTTGCAGTAATAGTTTGAATGTATATGCCCCAGACATAAGCAAATCAGCCGTAGAATGATTTTGTAATGGACATTGTTCAGTTGACCTTTCTAATAGGCATGCGCTTCTCTGCAAGTTGTTCCCCATCTGAGATAGACCCAACCTATCTATCCAATTCTGAAGCCATTAAGCAATTATCTGATATGTTAGGCTTAAGGCTGGGTACCTCTCAATATGTCAATACTACATTCTTACAATTCCTCAATTTGATTCACGGTAATACTAGGTAATTCACCTGACACATGTATCGTTCGTGTTCCCATGGACTTTAGGGTCTCACAACTTAAATATAAAGAGTATACGTAACTAGACACGCCACCAAAGCCATTGATAAAAACCTCAAGATAATTAACTATGTGATAAAAAAATATCCATTCTTAGCAAGCTTTCAATCACACATTGCCATTTTCGTTTCAAAATGATTAAGCCTAACTTGAGTGCACGATAGGAGGAATACAATAACCTTGTAGTTGTAATCTTCCGATGTCAAAGCAAAGTACTCCAGGGTAGTATCGTCCTCGACGTCATCGTAGGTATACGGATGAGTGGAGAAATCGGCACCTGCGATCGGAACTCGAGTGAGGCTGTATTTCCACCCTCTCTCGGAGAAGTATCCGCTGGAAAGGGGGACGTTGAGTTATGCGATGGCGCTGTAACGTTAAAAAGTTTTCGTCGGATTCAAAGTCGTACTCGATGATTGCTCTTTGCGCGGGTTCCCCCAGTGAGCGCAAGTTAACTCCGGTGGCATCGGTGAAAGATCCGCCGAATCCCATCATCCGTTGGAAGGTCCGAGACTTGTCGATTCTTATTACTGCATTCGGATTTTGCCGGGACGTGTCTGGGACGAGAGGACTGTGTCGTTGGACATGCGATCGGCTTCACACGATAAAAATAGGGGAATTCGCTCACGGAACGGTGCGGTGTCGACGTGGAACCGAAGTTCATCCTTGGTTGTGAGAACGGAGAGAAGGACTTCGGGTTCCTGTGGGAGAAGGATCTCTCCCGGGCTGTCACACCTCTCCTCCGTGCAAACGCAGACGAAGCTGTCGTAGTCATAGTATCTAGCGTCGCACTCCTCTTCCTGACCCTTAACCTCGTAGGACTCTAGGTACAGCGTCAGGCATGCTGGGGGGGGAAAGAAGGTCACCTTAGCATGTGTCGCTAGGGTATATAGTAGGGCTGTACCAATTTTTCGGCTCACACCGGTATCAGAGAGTAGAGAGTTTAACAAGAGGCGACACTGCGAAGGGTAGGGGGGGGGGGGGTTCGAAATATTACAAAGACATCTGTTGGCTTGTTATCAACAACATGAGTCGTGCTTCGTGGCAGCAGAATCGGGAATCGACTCATTCGAGGATTCGACCCAAAGGGATCGGAGCTGCATTGTGCGCACAGAGGAGCTCAGGCGATGAGCCGGAACCTCCCCAAAACAACTACACGCGTGCGATCCTCCTAACTGTCACTGCAGATATAGCGCGGGGTCAGTTACTTACCCTATGCTGCGGCGTGGATCCCCTAGTTATACTCTCTACTCTTTTACCGGGAATCAGCCGCCGGTGTCGCACTATCGGCATCATCGGCCATCGGCCTATGGCACTGGTGCCAGTGCCAGTGCACAAAGGACGGGCAAAGGAAAAAAAAATGACGTTAGGGTGTGATCGCGGCTAGGCGTCGGCCCTTCTGTCTCCCAGAAAGACTGTGACATGCACCATTTCTTATGGAATGGTGCCTCTCCCAGACAAAAATATCTATCGGATTATATTCCAACCGGATTATAAGAACCGGCGGAGGAAGGTAGCGTTAAAGAACGGGAAATAATAGCATCTCCCTTTACGTCATGCTCTTGCAAGGGATGTGTCACCAAATGCTCTCAACAACACCAATGGGCAACAAGCTAACCATTGACAGCCTTATAGTGAGATGGAAGTTGAACAGGACCGAAAATGGTCTCCACCGTTTCAAGGAGGCCCACTGATAAGAATCGCATGACTTCCAATTAGACCTATTAGGATATTTAGGAGACTTCATCTATAGTGAACAATCGGCACCGGCACCGGCCGATTGTTATGAGGATAAAATCGGCCTACTATTTATTGTAGTACCCCAAGAGAGAAGAGAGAAACGACTATTCGTATGGGGTTTTTAAGCTAGTGTTATTTTTCTATAGGCTCCACCAAAAGGTTTCGTCTAACCGTTTTAATATTTTTATTTCTTCAGTCAATGAAATGTTAAGAGATGGAATCCGGAAGCCTAAATTAAATCCCCGTGCTCTGACACTGTACAAATGAGATATCCAGGCACAGCCTTCTGGAAGGCGCCAAATGCGAACCACTTCACGGCAGCTTAGAAGAGAACCTCTAAGCACGAAATAATTCATCAGCATACCTGAGAAAAGAACGGCGAGGAGTCCACCCGAAGACGCCATGTTGTCGATTGCCACCGCGGAAGATCCTCAGCTCACACTGTCGAGGAGCTCGAAATCGCGTTATCTCGTCTGAATCGGAGGAGCATCTGCGGGCTTTCCACATAGGAACCGCCAGGTGTTTCGAATCTCGTCGTTCATGGACCCGGAAACAAAGGAAATCCACAACCTTGTTTTTTTTTTTTTCTTCCCATTCCTCCTCTCCGACAGTCATGCAGAGGAAATTGGAATCATGGTCACGCTCGAAGTTACCTTCTCGACACGGACAATCTTAGACAATCGTATGACCGGGCACGGTGTCAATTACGAGAGAGTTATGCCATCACACATTAGGCGGAAAAACGGATAACCCCCTCACCCTCGCAGGCTAAAAAAAGAGCAGAAAAATGAATAATGTCCAAATAACCGTTATGATTGAATCAAATGATCGACGGTGCAAGAACTTGAAACCCCTGTGAAAACATCAAC